ACTGGCGGTTTTTATTAAGCTATGTTGTCGGGGCACTGGACGTTTTATTGAGGCATTATAGAGGCCTGGGGGGCCCTTGCCTGCGGCCCAGTCTGCCCCTGGTCATTACCCACTTTTGACCCATTACTTAAGAAACATGGGTTTAAATGGTCATTGTGTTAAACAATGTTTGAGATGTCACTGAAGAGAGCACAAGAAACTACATTTATAAAACAGATATAATATTTAACATTTAATATTTAAAGGGCAAAAAAAAGTTAATTGTTAGGGATTACATACAGGAACAACAGGAATTGTTCAAAAAAATGTGTGTATTCCTTTTTTAATGTATTAGATAACTGGCTACTGGGATTTGCAGTTTACATACACATTACCGGTATAGAGAGAGGGTAATTGTACTGAATCCTACTAGAGCGTGCAATCACTAAATTGAGCACATCATCACAGATTGTGTAATTTGCTGTGGATTTATTTCACGAGTGGAAGGTCACTGATTGTTCACTTATAATTTGATGCATTAAGTATTTAGTGTGGTATTCATGCTTATTTAAATTCACAGAGTGCTGTGTGTGTTTTGATTCACTATATATATGTGTGTGTGTGTGTGTGTGTGTGTGTGTGTGTGTGTATGTGTATATATTTAAAATATACAATTTAAAAAAAAAAAAAAATTTTTTTTTCCTATCACGAGTGGTTTGCGTGAAATCAATATTTTTCTGATTAAGGGTAATGCACTATATGTAGTTTTTTTTTTTCATTTTTGAGGTATCCTGGATTTTCCCACGATATTTGGAAGATGAATAACAATTTTTTTGGACACTTTGGACTATATTTGTTGTGGACACTTTGGACTTACTTTGGACATTTACAGAAAGATTAATAGGGTATTGCATATAGGTTTTGTAGAAAAGGTTTTTGATGTTTGCACTTTCAAGGGTGAAAGGTTGACTTTTCTTTGGGTGATTACACTTAGAGTTTTGTTTATTATTACTGGTATAATGTTTCTAGATTGAACTGGAGTGAAACACCCTAAAAACTCATCTTTACTTTGTGTGCATTTACACACACACAGTGATTGGAGCACATTCTAAGCTGTGCAGATCTTCTGTGCTGTCACTGCATATGAATACATATATTAGTTTTTTGTTTTAAAGAAAACTCATTAAAATGCACCAAGGATACATAGAAATACTATTATGAAGCATTTGATCAAGTCAATGCTGATGATAAACTATATGCTAAAACCAAACTGGTTTCCCAATTTCAAATTCCTTTGACTAAACCACATAGGAAATGCCCCAAATACAGATAACACAAAAACGAGCTGGATACACATATTTGAGTGCTATATAAACTAATGTGTATACTGTATAAACAAATTGTTTTTTTTAGTCCTTGTTACAAAAAAAAAAAAAATAATAATATCTTTGGGACTTTTTTAATGCAAAAAACCCCTACATATAAAAGATAATCTCTTTATTCAAGACCTGCTGTTCTCAGTATACCAGAGTAAGGGCTCATGGACACTGCAGCTGCTAAACTGACGTTTAGGATCAATTAATCGTTTTTTGGGGTTTTTTTCAGCAGCCCCTGAACTCTCCTTTATGTTTTCCTATGTGTCCATGTACACATCATTTACAGTAGTTTACAGGCAGCTGAGTTTACAAGCATTTTCTTGAAAGCACAAAAATCGCGTTCAGGAGTAGTTAACTGGCATTTCAAACTCCAAACGCTTTTAAGCACGTGTAAACTCATTCATGTGCATTTGCATTTAGACACGTTTTTTGGCTGGTCACTAAGTGGTATCCTACCACATCCAAGTATGCGGTAGGATACCGCATAGCATTTTTTTTTTAAAACCATTTGAATCCACTAAAAAGGCTACTAAAATACTGCATGAGTTATTTGATCAAGTCATGTGGTATTTTAGTAGTGAAAAGCATTCATTAATGTTTCAGCTGCCAGCGGGGTTCCCACTGACAGCTGAATGTAAAAGAAAGAATTGCTGACAAAAAAATAATAAAAAAACAGCGTGGGGTCCCCCCTCCCATCCATACCAAGCCTTTGGGTCTGGTATGGATATTGAGGGGAAGCCCCACGCCAAGATAAAAAAAAATGTCGTAGGGGTGCCCCCCAAAATCCATACCAGACCCTTTTCCGAGCATGCAGCCCGGCAGGTCAGGAAAGGGGGGGGCGAGCAAGCGCCCCCGCTCGTGGACCATACCAGGCCACATGCCCTCAACATCATGAGGGGGTGCTTTGGGGTAGGGGGACTCGCTCGCCCCACCCTTTCCTGACCTGCCGGACTGCATGCTCGGATAAGGGTCTGGTATGGATTTTGGGGGGGACCCCCACGACCATTTTGTTTTTTTTTTATTTGGCATGGGGCTTCCCCTCAAAATCCATACCAGACCCGAAGGGCTTGGTATGGATGGATTTATTAAATTTTTAATTGCCAGCAATTCTTTTACATTCAGTTGTCAGTGGGGAAACATCCGCTGACAGCTGATAACATAAAAACATCCAGTGCATTTTTCTGCATTCTGGACATTTGGGAGGGTCTCCTGAGGTTATCTTTTAAAAATGCTTCTAAATGCAAACGTGGCTAAATGCGGCTAAACTGACATTTTTAACCTACGTTTTTTAGCAGTCAGTTTCCTGCGGTCATTAGAGTTTTTCAAACGCCCTGTGTACATGAACCCTAATGCTGCAGACAGTAAACCTTTGCATCTGCTTTTCCCAAAACTCTCAATGGAGAATAGGCAATAGTTTTTAAAAATTCTAATTCACTTAAAGGATGATTGCACTTTTAATACAAAAGCACATCAATCAACTCACTCTTAAATGACTCCAGACGCACCCATTCTGCTACACACCTACATGACCTCCTGTGGGCCGGAATCTTCTTCAACCTTGGTCGATATTGCGCAGTGAACTCAAGCCACATATAAAGCTGCACTCCAAGATTGCAGACACTCAAAGTACAGCCCTATTTAGTTCTATTGGGGTTCATTCTGCAAGCATGGCCAGTGCTAAAAAAGATTTTCACCCAGAGAATTTTAACAGCAGAAGAAGTCATGGCTGTCATGCTGCAATACGTAAACAGCTGGGGGTTAGTTTAGATAAGAGGTCTAGGGAGGGTAGACTAGTAAACATTTTACTACAAGTACAACTTGTCCTTTTGACAAATATACTCTTAAGACCACTATTTAGTACCGCTCATAGAAACCACAGTACATTTTCTGACATAGCCTTCATCTGCTTTTCACTCCAGAAGCACAGTACCATGTTTGTTCAGGCATCATGCAGGATCAGCATATAATTGATTCTAGCTCAGAAATGACAGAGTCATGTAAATCCTGTCAGCCCATATAGTAGTCTCTCATATGGAACAGGCTGATTTTTGTTGATAAAATGTGGTACTTTCCTGAACAGTTTTACTGTTGTTGTATAGTATGACATGCCAGGAATGCATTAATGCAGATTAGTAAACTGGAAAATACAATGTGCATGCGTGGGCCTAGCAGAGGTAATTTGAATTCTCCAAATAAGAATGTAGAGTGTGGTACACATGCACCATCCAGCCAGAAAAGAGGCACCTAGGAGGCCACACAGTACATCACTGGATCAAGGACAGGTGAGTTAAGACTAGGGCTGTGAGGATTAACATCATCCTTCAGCCAATGTGAATGGACAAATGTAAATATTGAGTGGAAAATCTGTATCAGGGGATGAAGTGTAGGATGAACACAGCATATGGATTCAATTCATCTTTCATACAGTTCTACATCATAAAATGACAGCTGAATTCAGTTAAATATTTAAAACACACTCATTTAATATGTACTTATGATCAAACCTCAGGATAGTTCTATGGAAAGGAGATATGCTCATACATTTTCACAGCAAGGCTAATATCACTGCTCAGACAATGTAAATGAAATAGTCAAAGGCACTCTTAACCTTGCACTTCATTTTGATACTTGTTTCTCTAGGCCAAAAAGAAGCACATTTGGCTACATTGAAGGGTTTTTTTTTTAGGTTTCAGTAACTGCTGCTATAAACTTATCTTCTGCAGTATTGACCCAAAATACAGTTTGTTCAGAAAAAGTAAAAGCTTGTTCTTGAAATGTTTGCTGAATTCCTGGTGTAAAGTTGCTGGTTTTCATCATCCCAGACAGTGATCAGAACACATTCCCAGAGAATCAACTGCTGGGTTTGGCGAGACAAAGCAAATGAGTCACTGGAGCAAAACAGTCCTAAATGAATGCATGTCTCCTGCACAAAGCATTAAATAACCTCAGAAAAGGCACTCATTGACAGATTTAATAGGTGGAATAAAGAATAATTGCTAATAGATCTTCAAATTATTGTGCTATTGTTTAACCAACAACTACAAATATTTGGAAAACACACAAAACACTTGTTACAATGCATAAAATCAGCTTCATTTAAATAAAAATAAAGATCCCTTAGCATGAAGGCTCATACATTGAAATCCTGGATTTGGGTACACTAATTCCAAGGCAGTGTAGCACAGCTTACACACCATTAACCACTTGCCTACAGGGAACTTATACCCCCTTCCTGCCCAGGCCAGTTTTCAGCGCTGTCACATTTTGAACGACAATTGCGCAGTCATGCAACACTGTAACCATATGAAATTTTTATCATTTTTTTTAGACAGATAGAGCTTTCTTTTGGTGGTATTTAATCACCTTTGTTTTTTTTATTCTTTGCTAAACAAACCAAAAACAACTTAAAATTCTGAAAAAACACTTTTTTTTCTTAGTTTGTGTTCTAAAATGTTGTAAATAAGTGATTTTTCTCCTTCACTGATGTGCGCTAATAAGGCTGCAGTGATGGGCACTGATAGGCTGCACTGATGGGCACTGATAGGTGGCACTGATGGGCACTGATAGGTGGCACTGATGAGGAGGCACTAGTAGGTGGCACTGATGGGCATTGGCAGGCATCACTGATGGGCACTGAAAGGCAGCACTCATATCGCACTGATAGGCAGCACTGACTGACACTGTTAGGTGGCACCGACTGGCACTGATAGGCAGCACTGACAGGCACTGATAGGTGGAACTGATAGGTGGCAATGACTGGCACTGATAGGTGGCACTGAAAGGCAGCTCAGATGGGCGCTGATATGTGGCATTGATGTGCACTGGTAGGCACTGATATGTGGCATTGATGTTGCACTGATGAGCACTGACAGCTGGCACTGCTGGGGCTACACTGATCATCAGTGCCCTGATGATCAGTGTACATGTCCCCCCCCCGAGGAATGCCGATTACCGGCTTTCCTCTCCTCATGAGCTGTCAGCGTGACAGCTCGTGAGGAGAGAAATGCAAATAACCGGCATTACCCTATTTACATGAGATCAGCTGTGATCGGACACAGCTGATCACATGACCGAGCCGACACCCTCCGGCTCTTTCCGTTGATCCGCTGTGTCCGATGCGGCTGCGTGCTCTGGGAGCCGCACATGCGCAGTTGAAGTAGGAGGACATCATATGAAGTGCTCCCAGAACAAGAGAACCGCCTTGCGCCCGTCATTACCTTATATGGCAGGTGGGAGGCGGTTAAAGTGGTTCCAAAGTCAGAAGGTTTTTTACTTTAATGTATTCTATGCTTTAAGGTAAAAAACCTTCTGGGTGCAGCTCCCTCCTCAGCCCTCCTTATACTTACCTGAGCTCCATCTTGATTCAGTGGTGTGCATTACAGCCATGGCTTTCCAGAGTGTCTTACTGCTCATTGGCCTAAACAGCAGAAGGAGCCATTGGTTCCTGCTGCTGTCAATCACAGCCAGTGAGCCAATGAGGAAAGAGCAAGGGTGGTGCCGAACCACGCTCTCTGTGTCAATGGACGATGTTCATTCACAGGAGTGTGGCTTGGGGGCAAGCCTGCTCGAGTGCCCTCATAGCAAAATGCTTGATATTGGGGGCACTTGGCAGGGGGGAGCAGCCAGGAGAACCAGCGGGGGAACCAAAACAAAGAGGATCAGAGCTGTTCTGTGCAAAACCATTGTACAGAGCATGTAAATATAATATTGTGTTTTTGTTGTTTTTTGTTTTTTTAAATTACAGCCTTTAGAATCACTTTAAAGAGGAGTTCAACTTTAAAGCGGGTTCACCGACAGCTTCTTAAATGTGGGCACCCAGCTGTGAAAGCTTGTGGCCGGATGCCCGCTGTACATTGTGAATGGTCCCATAGTCTTTTGGGACCTGTCACATGTCAGAGAAGACTGCGGGGGTTGGGGGGAAACTCCTGTTTCTGATCACCTAGGAGGTTGGAGCAGAAGTGGGAACCTGTAAAAATCGGGTACCTGCTCCCCAAAGGTACCAATCCTTAAACAGGGAGTGGGGGACAAGTCCTTAAAGTGGAACTTCCCCTTTTGGGTGGGACTCCACTTATTATTTCAGAAAACATGAATACTCCCTGCACACTTGATTTTTTTTTTACAATTGTATCTGGTGATCCTATCAGTAAGTGATTTGTCAATGAATTCTTCATCACCTTCTGGTCAAGTTCACACCAGACCCACCAGCTCCTGCCTTATCCACCTACTGGACCATCACTCTGTAAGGTGAGGAGGGAGGCACGCCAGCTTAGACATCAAGTGTTAGGAATGTTAGATTATGATTTTGAGGCTACCAGGGCATTACTGAAGGTATTGGATGACAAATACAAGTGTCTCAAGGCATCTGCATTTATTCAAGTTGATGCTCATGGAATTGTTATAAAACTGATTGGCTGTCCTCTAACGTCAGGCAGTAGACAGTATTTTTTTTAGGTTTGTATAGAATGAGAAAGGGCCTCTGTTAAGTAATGACTACAGGCATGATTACTTTTAATTAAAGTGGAAGTTTAGTCAAACGCTGACAAAGGCTAACCTTGCTCACAACCCATTCCAACCCTATTCCATCTAATCCTGTAAAGAAAAATCCTGTATACATAACAATTTCTGAATCAGCTCTGGTCTCGTCCCAGGATCAGCTGCTTGCGGTAGCTTCTGGATAGAGGAGAGATTGCCAACAATGGATGCCCATTAAGCCTATGGGTGACGTCATCTTCCAGGCATCTGCAGCCATTGTCATCGATCTCTCCCATATACAGAAGAAGGCGCTGGGCAAATCAAGTGACTGGAGCAGCTTAAAATAAGTAAGTATACAGATCTTTTCCTTACAGAGAAAAGAATAGGCTCAGAATCAGGGTGAGAGTAGGTTTAGCCTCAGTTAGAATTTGACTGAGCTTCCACATTAAGTCACTATAATTTATAGCAATCCTCTGGCTTTTAACATAGCAAGTCACAGAGCATCTGCAGAAGAAACTGACTGTGCTAGGTGCCAGGCACTGAAAAGATCCATATAGTTGGGATCCACTCAGAAACCTGGACCGGCACCTTGCTCAGCCTTTCAGTGATCTGTTGAGAGCCTGAGCCAGCTGCTTCCTCCCCCCCTCCACAACACAACACTCCAGTGAGCACTGGAAGGGTAGAGCAGAGAGCCGGAAAGTGAAAGTCACAGCTCTCTGCTCAGAGTGGAAGGGAGAACTGAGCGATTAGCAATGTTTGATCACTCAGTTACTTTTTACACACTGCTTCTTAAAAATTTTTAAAAATTCCACGACATGTTCAAATTGCTTGCTGTGGCAAACTTCTTAGTCTCACTATTTTTCTTTATTCCATTAGAATTTCTGTATGTGCAATTATATTGCATACTGGATGCAAATGTCAAGAAACAAAACAATTGACTATCAAAATTTACAACAGAAGTGCCAGGAAGGGGAGGAAAAAAAAAACAGCTGGTCAGTCTGCTGACTACTAATTTGAACACTTAACAAGTGAAGTGTTCAGAATCCATTATTCGTTATTTGCAAACCATGAGCTGTCCAATTGTCAATAGCAAGAAAATCCTAATCTACACGAGGGATGAGATATTGGCTTGTGAAAAAAATCATTTTCTTATGAATTCCTGACATTCTGTTCAACATAAAAGGAATTTCCATTACTTTAGACTATATAAGGGCACAAACAGCACCAGAGTGAAAGTGAAACTACTCTCAGTCTACTAATTAATTTTTATCTAAAACCTATATTGGAAAGTTTGCATTTAAATAAAGCATTGTCTTTTTCCTAAATTATGGAATGCAGTTATTTAAAGAATTGGAAATTACCAAGGGTTAAAACAAATTGAGCAGACACCAGAAATTCCAGTAGAGGGAGAGACTGAACAGCTGGGAATCTAATAACCAGTTGCTGAGGGGGCCCATAACCAGCTGTTATACCAGTAAAACCAGTCAACCAACAGCTCATGACCAGTCCCTCAGTAACACTTCAAAGTCCAACCAAAGCCCCTTGATTTTTATCAAAGTGTAGAAAAGCTCCACTCCCAGACATTATTGGAAGTTTCATTACACAAGTCCCTTTATACCTGTCCTTGGTGTTCATTTTACGATTTCATCCTATGTTAAAGGATTAGCGTCACTCAGAAATGAAAGCACATATTAGGTACTTTAATTTTTCATTGAAACCATTCAAGACTCTGAGTAGCAGGCATGAACCTATATTTTTATACATAATGCATAGCTTGCTTTAAAGTTAAACAGTATAAACAATGACTGGACTATAAATATTAGCCTTCTGATGCACACAATTAAGGATAATAAATGGGAGTTATTTAACATATCTTGCAGCGTTGAATGTTTAAGTAAAACGAAGGTTACTTTCACCGTGATCTATCGCAAAAATGCACATGCAATTTTACTGTGTTTGTGGTTCATTTTTTTATTTTTTTACAGGACATGTGACTCAAAAAAACACAAAAAACGCAACATGGGTGTGTTTTTGATGCATTTGTTATGCGTTTTCCATTGATTTCAATGGGCAGGTGCGTTTTTGGTGTGTTTTTTCTACCACAACAAAAAAAGCAGAAAGCAGAATTTAAAAATTGGACCCACAACAGATCAGTGTGAAGAGTTTCATAGGAATACATGGTCACGCATTTTTCTTTCGCTTTTTTTTTTTTTTCTTTTTAACACAAAAGTGAAAGAAAAACAGATCAGTGTGAAAGCAGCCTAAAGCCAAAACTTTTTTTCAGTTTTGGATAGAGAGGTATTAGAACACCTGTCAGGATTTATTGCTGTATGTGCCCCCGATTCACCCTCTCCATTTGTCCTGTTTACCATTACCATTGAAAGTGAAAAAAAGGAAATCCCCAGACTTTGGGTTGTCCTCAGAACAGTAATAGAGGGGAAATTTTCCAATGGGGACACTAGTCCTGGTGACCTTGGGGACTCCAAGGAATTCCCTTAACTTGCAGGTATTTGCTTTGACTATGGGATAGGAAGTGAAGGGAAATCATCTTCACAATGGGACACAGATGACAGCAAAAAAAAAAAAAAAAAAAAAAGAAGTAAAAGAAAAATTTGACAGGGATTATAACATTCCTGATCTATCCAAAATGAAAAAATAAGTTTTGCCTATAGTTCTACTTTACACAGAAACCAAAATATGGTATTTAAACAGACAGTAAAACAAAATGAAATATTGGCACTTGAGTTATGTACACACATTTAGGCTCCATGTAAAGGAGCCTAACCTGACCGCGGGAAACCGCGGCAACCGTGGTTTTCCACGGTTGGCGGTCAAAATATTCCTATTGTGAACGCGATTCGAACACATTCAGGAGAGGGAGGTTTAACCTCACCTAAATGCGACAGCTCCTAAAACTCTGCTAAAAGCCCACGAGTTCAGTTTAGGAGCTTTGGCAAAAAATGCCAAAAGCTCCTAAAACACCAGTTTAGGAACTGCTTGTGTACATGAGGCCTTAGAATGCAAAAAGAATGGATTACCAGATAACCTACAGAGACAACGCGAGGAATAGAGAATACTCGCAGTGTCACAACCACTTTTCAAATTTACCATGTGAAAGTCTCTGCAGCTCCAAACAACTTTGAACTTGTACCATATACATCTATTATACAAGATAAACAGCGTTTTGCCTGTACAAAACACACTTTTATATTATTGCACCCAAAAATGATTTCATTTGGACAGAAAGGATTAGGACAGTGGTTGTCAATTTATAAAGCATTGGGGGGTCTCGACTGTGGCTCCTGAGATCACCAAAAAGCTGCACATAATATTCTGTGTATAGAATGCCAGAGAGGGCCAACTGTTGCCCCTGAGATCACCAAAAGGCTGCACAAAATATTCTGTGTATATAACGCCAGGGAGGGCTGTCAGGGAATGCAGACTTTGGAGAGGAAATGATAGTCAGAGACTGGATATGCTACAAGTTTGCTTGGAGATGATAAACATGCTGCAGAAGACTGAGAGACTGAGGAACATGTTACATAAAGCTAGTAGAGATCATTATTATTAATTCTTTACAAATTATTGTTCCTAATGTACT